TGCAGTTGGGGGTTAGTCGACATAGTATCTACATCAACAGTTTTTTTTCACAAGGGAGAACATTTCTTTATTATTTGTGAAAAAACTAAATTTTGCTCCTAACCTGCAGTTGTGCTTGAGATCTCGTTGAGCGCACAACGCCAGGTTTTCTTTGGTAGTTGTGGTTGTTTGCCAAGCTGTAGTAGATACCAAGCTCTTTTATAGTGTATTTTGATCAAACTTTGTGTCATTCTTGCTTATTTGCAAAAATAAATTTGGGTTAGATCAGGTGCTCCTTCATCGATACATGGCAGATTTTTTGTTTGTTTTTTCATAGTGCAATCATGTTTCGGTCTATACGGCTACACTTACTTTTCAAGAGGGCTGGTGCTGAATGCTTTCTAACCAAAAGGGGGTTTGGTGTTTACAGCTTCTTCTGGATAATCATAAGCTACTTAGTGCACTTTTGATGCATTTGATCTGTCCCATCTAGCAAGTTCCTTTTGGGTTTAAATGCAAGTTTTTTGTAGCTTATGTTTTATAATTCAAGTACTAGCACATCACTGTATTGTGTGTCCTGAGCATGGCGACAGCCTCCCTGACCACATCGCTACTGGTTATTGTGGATCCACATTTTAAGAAGCTCTTCATGGTGACTCAAAGAGGTGGCATGGAGAGGAAGAAAAATATGTGGGTGTCATGCTTGATTTTGTCTTTGCCAGTGGCAGGGTGACTATGGCGAGGTTCCAACCTGTCCATCGTGAGGATATCATCAGTCAATTGTGTACCACGAATATTTCATGGATTCAATTTTGAGATTCAATCTCCTCTTTGTTTTGTGGTTCCTTCTTTAAGCATTTCAATGGCTTGTTGAATATTATTTGTTTTTGGTTTGCAAGAACAAGGCTTGGCACATAACTCTTTGCATGGAAATCTTTAATTGGTGTTCCATGTGCCCGACGAGCGACAAAGATAAGTGACAAAAAGGAAATCCCCACTGGCAAGTAGGCATTGGTGAAAAATCTTCCTGGTTAAATCTGCCATTTGTTTGTTTCCTTTAAACTGTTTAGGCTCCCGATGGCAAGTAGGGCATTGGTGGAAATCTTCCTGATTAAATCTACACTTTACTTGATTCCTTTAAACTATTTAGGCTTTGATTTCCTTGGCCATGGAACTCACAATCATGCATCGATGGTCTTTATTTTCTATGTGTGAGGACATCATGTACTCACTATAGCAGATGACATCAATCTTCATGCCATAGCGTTGTAATTAAGCTTCATGTGAAGCTTACCATAAATGTTCACTTCTTAATGGTTGGATCATTCAGTGTAGGAATATGATGCATTGGACATAAGAGATTGACTGATGGAGGGTCTGATTACTTCGGAAGATGGGATCTCAATGTTAGTTCGCTTACCATCCTTTTTATTGAGAGGGGAGATATCTTACATGTATAGCAATTCACTTCGATTGCAGTGTCCCTACCCGAAGTTCATCGATGGCTACTGGACTGATTAGTGCCCTTCCTGCCAATATTGTTTTTTTGCAAATAAGCAAAGATTGTGTATCATTGCATTGATAGATGGAGACCATTGACATTATCTATTTGATTATGGAATCCACCATGCAAGCACAATTCTTTTTCCCCTTTCGAAATAAACTGAGTAGTGCACATCCAACATAGGTAAGCCTTCTATACTTTTGTTGTTGAATGGAATTCATACCAAGAAAATGATAATCTATATGAGAAGAATGGTAGTCTGTTAGTCAAGAAACAACCTAGTGACTTCAAATATTTTGCATTTCTATTTTTCATATTAAAATTAATAACAAATTCAATTTATCCACCGTAATGAATAATAATATAATGGGCCTATTTTCTGTTAAAATACTTGATATGATATTGAGGTATGCTCCCCTGTTTTCATCCATGCACTATGTATATGTAGACTGACATTATAAGCTCCGATCACGAATGCATAAATGTGAAGTTAGTCCAAATATTTCAGATATAAACAGTTGCCATGAGAGGTGCTGGATGGATATTTGTGTACATAAAAGATAAATGTATTATTTATTAACCTAGGGTTGGATGTACAGGGGGTGGTAGTGAGCTGTTTAGTTAATGATCTTGCTTGTGTTGCCGTGGTTAAGGTTCCTTTGCTTCATATATGAGCTATAAAAGAGTTAATTAATGGTGACAATTAAAATGCCCATTTAGTATTTATGTTTGTCTGCATAGTTGTTTATGTTCTTTATGGGAATATATAGATCAATTCTACTGGGTTTAGTGCTTGTGATGTATTCTTTATACTGTGGTTCATTTAGGAAATTATCTCATGGGCCTAGCACAAGAAACTGAGGGTCCTCATAAGAGCCTCAGATTTCTGCTTGTACAATTGTCCTCAGAAATTCTTTATATGCATCTGATTACATGTTTGGGACAATTTTCTTCTACTTAGATGCTCAGCTAGAGTGGCAACAAAGCTTTTCTCCTCTGGCATCTGGGTCTACTTTTGATCCGATATCTCATACTTTACTAATCGTGTTGTTTCATTTCCTTTCATTTGCTTCTGTTTTGCAATTTTGAGGCATTGCCACAAAATGCACCATTCAGAATGATCAAAAGTTGATAATGTGAAGCATTCTTTCACGATGTTGGTCTTTAAAGTTGTATTTGACATGTTACTCAGTTTGCGCTGGCATTAATGTCCTTTATTGTAACAACTACTTATTATGTTATAACTGTACTGTTAAAATGTTCAAATTTGTAAAACAAATACACCCGGTCCACGTTATAATTTGAGTTGTTGTTTTTTTACTTATTGTTAATCTGCAATTTTTTGTATCCTTCATCACTTATTGGATGGCAACAACCGGAACAAGAGGGAAAATGCCACTATAATTGACATGTCGTATAAGCTAGGAACAAGAAAAAGAAGTAAAGATCTCATCTTGTGCAACAAAAATGAGAGTGAAGAATATTGCAATCCTTTACTCCCAGCATTACCTTCCAATTCAGTGATAAGTATATTTATATTATGAAACATCTTATCATTATATTGCCAGAAGGGACGGGCACGGCAATGCGCGCCATCCATGATCTAGTATTTTGTAAGTCAAGTTTATGATCAAAGTTTGACCTAAAATACGAGGGAGTAATAAACCAAGGCGGAGTAAGTACTAGTATGGGTAGTGTCATCACCATTGGAGGACTCGGACATTCACATACCTAAATTACATTGTGACCGGTAAAAGGTGATCATCTTTTGTACCACCAAGTGTCGTCACCATTGAAGCACTCAGACATTCACATACTTAAGTTACACTGTGACCAGTAAATTGTGATCACCTTCTGTACCACCATTTTTTTAATAAAATGTTTTCCTTATTTGGATAGTATTCCTTTTTTAGATATAGAGATCATCTCATAATATATATATGTGATAGATGAAGTCTAATGACACGTGTTGGGTTATAGTGTCTGACCCTTTCTCACAGTTTAGACTGATGTGGAACGGTTAGGTGCATTCAACTTGTAAAGAAAAGGTTCAAGATCCAAAGCTCAGTTAAATCAGTAACTAATTACGACCTGCCACCTGTTGCTCACATCCTAACTCCAAGAGTATAGATGTATTCAATATCTTCGTAAACAAAACCAACTATTATATAATTCAACAAGAGGATATGTATAATTCTCTACAGGCAGTGCTTGGACATAATCCATTAAGTCAAAACCTCAAGCTCTATATGCCACATCTTCCAAAACTTGGCGCATGTGTTCTTCTGGAGAGGTGCCAATTGTGAAGTTATGGATTCCGATCATTTGTTTGTCACAATTGCAATCTCGATAATACCTTTTTATATTCTTTACGATCTGAAACGTTTCATTTACTTGCTTGCAATCATCACTTCCAACCATAAATAAAATACATTATACTCCCTCCGATCCTTTTTACTCCAGCGTATTAGATTTGTATCAAGTCAAACTTTACAAAGTTTGACCAAATTTATATTAAAAAATATCAACATCTACAATACCCAATATATATACTATAAAACTACATTTCATAATGAATCTAACAATGTTTTTTTTGAGCATCAGTACAGACACAAGCGCTCATATACACGCGCATACACTCATCCCTATGAACGCACACACGCACACCCTACCCCTATGAGCACCTCCGAAATACTGAGCCGGCATATCATCTTGAGATTTACGAAGTCACCGTAGGCGCCTCGTCGTCGACGGGAACGTCTCCTCCCACTGAAAGCGCATCGCCGGAAATCCTGAAATAAATCCAGGAATAATGCGAGCACCAGGATTTGAACCCTGGTGGGTTGGGGATACCACAGTCCACCTAACCAACTCAACCACAGGTTGATTCGCTGAATCTAACAATGTTGATTTGGCATTGTGGATGTTGATCATTTTTTCTATAAGTTTGGTCAAAATAGAGATACGTTGACTTACGACAAAACTTATAAGAAGACTAAAAAGGACCGGAGGGAGTACTTGTAACTAGCAGAGTGAAGTGTCTTAGTTGTGTGCAAGGACCGATCATTGGTAGCAAATCAAGACTTGGCGAAGTGATATCTTGGTTTTCAACAGAGGGAAAGCTTAAATACAAGAATAAGAAACAACTATGCCCACGATATACTCCCTCCGTTCCTAAATATTTGTCTTTCCAGAGATTTCAATAAGTGACTACATACGGAGCAAAATGAGCGAATCTACACTCTAAAATATGTCTATATACATCCGTATGTAGTAGTCCATTTGAAATCTCTAAAAAGACAAATATTTAGAAACAGAGGGAGTAGTAGTTAACTTAAAATAAGAAACATATGACCTTAAATTCCAGAATGGTATGATACTAACAAGCCAGGCAGAAAGGCACAAAATGCATGATGACATACAAAAGAAGAAGACACAAATACAAGAGACAAGGGAAACTAGCTAGATTATTCATGATCCTTCAAAAAGAAAAGGCTAGATTATTCATGAAATGTGTTCATGTGCTCAGTCCAAGTTTGGAAAGGAAGTCGGCAATGTTGCGGTCTGAGCTGCCATCTTCACTCATGGCCTTCTTCGCCTTGTGGCTCCAGCTTGCAGCATTCGTCCTGTAGCCCTTGGCATCATCCATGGCCTCTCTGATGCACCTCGCGAGCTCCTCCTTGGTCACCACCCCTTTCACCTGCACACCCACGTGCCAGACGTCCTCGACGTATTTGGCGTTGGTCGGCTGGTCTGACCACTGCGGCACCGCGACCATGGGCACGCCGATGCTCAGGGCCTCTATCGTCGAGTTCCACCCGCAGTGGGTGACGAAGCACCCGACGGCCGGGTGCGCCAGCACCTCCAACTGCGGGCTCCATGTCACGAAGAGCCCCCGCCCCATGGCCTTGCCGATGAAGCCCTCAGGCAGCTTCCAGGTCTCGGACGCCCTGACGACCCACACGAAGGGTTGGCCGCTGCTGTACAGCCCCTCGGCGACCTCGGCCACCTGCGCCGGGTCGGGCGTGGCGAGGCTGCCGAAGGAAACGTACGCCACAGAGCGCGCCGGTCTGTCGTCTAGCCAAGCCATACTTTCCGCCGCCATCGGAGTGTGGAGGTGGAAGCCGTAGGACGTGTCGTCGGCCATGCGGTTGTCGAGGTACGCCGACGGGATGCTCGGGCCAACCGCCTTGGCCCCCCATCTCGACGACAAATACTCTGCTTCCTTGGGCTGCAGCTCGTGAAATGAGTTGATGAGACTGTAGTCTGCCACCTCAAGCCCTTCGCACTGCTGCAGCAGCAGGTGCAGGTAAGCGGGGCTGCTGCCCGGATCCGTGAGGAAGGATGGGAAGTCGGCCGGCGACAGCATCGTGGGCAGGCCAGGAAGCTGCGCCGGCGCGTTCTGCTTGTCCACCGGGAGTTTCACAAGGCCTGCCCACGCGTGGGCGTACACCACGTTCACCGCGCACGCCTGCGTGAAGAAGGCCGCGCACTTGGCGCCGTGCCGCCGTGCCACACGCGGCGCCCAGAGGAGGAACGCGTCGTACACGACGGCGTGCACCGGCCGGCCCTGCTCCGATTCGGAGCGGAGGAGCTCGTCCAGCGTGGACGACCCGACCGACTCGAGCCGTGCCAGGAAGGTCTGCACATCGCCGACCTCATCGTAGCCCTGCCGGTCGCACCCGTCCGAGAAGGCGGCGATATGGACCGCGCCGGCCTGAGATGGTCCGCCGGAGTTGCCGAGCACGGACCGGGTCACGGCGAGGGTGCAGCGGATGCCGCGGTGGCCGGCGAGCCGCTTCGCCAACTGGAGAAGCGGGTTGATGTGGCCTTGGGCTGGGTATGAGACGAGGAGCACGTGAATTCTGTGATCCGACCCTGACATAGCCGCTGTTCGTGTTTGTTAGCTATCGTTGCTTGCGTTGTGCGTTCTTCTACCATAAATTTATAGATACGGCTTGACACCTTCCAACCCGTAGCCTAAAAAATAAATTATATGTGACCGTCGTGGCTGCCGGACATGGCCATGAACGTGGAAGCCCCGGCACGGTGCTAGTGGAGGCTTCTTCGTCGTCGTCAGACGTAAGGAGGACTGAAATTCAAGTGACGCGTCCCGTCGCCATAAGCTGGGGTGTCATACGATTATTATTATTTTTTGAAGGGGATGTCACACGGATAGATAGGATGATCTAAACGCTCTTATATTAATTTATACTACTCCCTCTGTCCGGAAATACTTGTCGGAGAAATGAATGAAAATGGATGTATCTAAAACTAAATTGCATCTAGATACATCGATTCCTCCGACAAAAATTTTTGGACGGAGGAAGTACTAGTTTACGAAGAGAGTACCATGAAAAACTAAACAAAGCTCCCTATTGAGTAGACTTAAGGATGATCGATGTAACAGTATTTCTATACTGCCTCAACTTTTTTTTTCTCTAAAAACACTCAGGGGAAAGTATAAGGTGATACCAATCCTTACATGATACCATGGTACCAACTTGCAAAATTCAAATTTGAGCATGTCAAAAAATTCTGAAAATAATCATGAATGTTCACAACACATATGTCAATAACCCCTAAAATATTCAGATCAAAATTCGACATACACAAAGAGAACCAAAAAGAAAAGGACAAATCCATCATGAATAGTGTCAAAAGAAGACAAAAACAAAAATGACACTGTTCACATCTGAATTTGTCTTTTCTATTTCTCCTTGTGTATTCCGAATTTTGATCTGAATTTTTTAGGAGTTGTTGACATATATGTCGTGAACAACCATGATTATTTTCAGAATTTTTTGACATGTTTTGAATTTTACAAATTGGTATCATGGTAGAATGTATAAACTGGTATCACCTGATACTTTTCCTCCCCCTCACGTCTAGACTTATTTAGGTCACATGATCTTTCATTTTCCAAGATGTAGGCCGCATGATCTTTTATTTTCCAAGATGTAGGCTGCAGGATCTTTTATTTTCCACGATGTAGGCCGCAGGATCTTCTATTTTCCATGATGTAGGCCGCAAGATCTTTTATTTTGGACCCTAATAAGTGCCGCGCGTGTGGCACGAACACATGCCAACTCCGAGCAGTTTTTACGGCAAGTTTAATCACACGAGGACAGCAACTTTCTTTTTCGATGGCATGTTTCAGTTTTTTGGGGGGTTTGTTTATTTTCTTTCTTTTTTTTTGAACTCACTACGACCTTTATTTAAACACCCCAACTGGGAATTTCGTCCGCTACAATCTGCAAAATGCAGTCAGGTGGTTCAGACAGCCACACATTACAAAGATTATTCGCCACACATTCCCTAGCTAACCTATGAGCTGCATTATTCGCAGATCTTCTCACCCAGGTCACTTTCCACCTATCCCTTGACGCCAACAGTTGCTTTACCTCTTCAATGATCGGTCCCAGCAGCGACAGATCCTTTTCTTGCCTCTGTAACTTGCAAACGATCTCACGGCAGTCCATTTCAACATGTAGATTTTGTATGTTTAGTTCGTCCGCTAGTTGGACTGCCCTTTTGCATGCATACAGTTCGATCCTTGCCGGCTCTATGCATTGAGGAAACACCTGACATGCGCCACCCAGGAAAGCACCTTCCTGATTCCGCAGAACCACTCCTACTCCTCCCAGCTCGCCAGCCTTTTCTTTTCAATTGACAACTTTTGTTGTAAAAATGTCAGGGCGGGAGAGCTTCGTGCCACATGTGTGGCACTTATCATTTGAGTTTATTTTAATACTACGTCGGGAGGAGGAGTTCAGGGCTGCTCCCCGAGTGCGCGAGCCCGGCCCCAGGACCGCATCCGCCCGCCCACCATGGTCGCACGGACATGCGAGCCCGGCCCCAGGCCTGCACCCCGTTCCTCTTCCTCGCATCGAGCATGAACGGGGACAACCATGGCCACACGCACGCGCTCGATCTTTTTGCAGTGTAGAATTTTGTTGGAGCTGAGAGAAATCGACGGCTAGAGACAGGTGTTACACGGCGGCGTGCTGGGAGAGGGCGGCAGAATCTTTTAGTTTGTGGTATGTAAACCGTCCTCGGGCTTGTAGAAGTATGGGTCGGAGGCTCGCGTTTTGGGTGCCCCTTAAAATGTATAATGGTCCGCAGACTTTTATTGTGTCTGTTCTTAATAAAAAAATCTGAAATCATAAACCCGTCGGAATTTTACAGGTTTGGCCCACATACAGTTACGTGAGGTTTTTACGTAATGGCTGGTTTGGACGTAATTAATTGGTTTAGGATTAGTGGCTGGGGCCCACCTCGGTTAAAATGGGGGGAGAAGAGTATTTATGGAGGGGTAAGTAAGATTACGTAGGATCTTTTTGTAGGTGTAGAATTATCGTTTTAAGAAGTCTACTGGAGATGCTCTTACTGGTCACTAAACGCGCAGACCACAGCAGCCGCCAGCGCGAACACCAGGCCCACTGTGCCCGGGAGCGACGAGCCACCGTTCTCCCTGCAGGTACACCGACAGCGTCGCCTTTGACCCCGAGCCGGCCGGTGTCTGCACCTCCGGCGTGGCGGCGCCAGCAGCACGGCCACCACCGTTGCACTTGCTCGCTGGCGGGGTCTGCACGTTGCACGCCTTGGGGAGCTCGAGCGCGCGCGTCTTGTTGATGGTCATTCCGCCGAGCGACGATGAGTCGCCGCCAAGCGCGCTGCAGAGGCACTGGGGCTGACTGCACCACGGAGCCGAGCTGGGAGCAGCAGGACTTGGTGGGCGCCGCGTCGTTGCCGTTGATGTAGTTCATGCACAGCAGCACAGGTACAGGCCGACGAGCGCCGTCGTGCACCCGGACTGCGCCGACGCCGACGCCACCAGCAGGGCCGCTGCCACCGCAGTGGCCAGGAGGATGCTGCTGCCGGACATGGCTCTCGCCGCCATTGATTTCTCTTCCCCTCGGATTGATATTTTTTGAGCGAGAGGATTTTCACTTTACCTACATGTCAGCTGACTGAGTTTTATATTTTGGGTCAGTCAATTTTTTAACCGTTGATTGCTGCTCCAAGATGCATGCTAGTTTTTTTTTCTTTTTTTTTAGTAACAGTTTTTTTTTTCTGTTGTGTGTGCTGTTCTGTATCGAGCTGCATGTTTTTTGATTGACACCTATTTTGAGTCAGTCGATTTCTTGTTGGGCTGAAGCCCATTACATGTTTTCTAATTAGACTGTTTGTGTGCGTATTTGCTTCTGTTTTTTGTCGGTTTCTATGGGTATATTTTGGATGTTGGATGAATACAAAATATATACACGTAAGTAATTTATAATATGTGTATAAATTGTAATTCTGTGAAAATGCCCTATTATGTGCTTATTTCTTACATACTATTAAAACAAAACGGTTTCATTATACTTGTATTTTCTGTGAAATTTCCACTACCATATGCATATTATTGCATATTATTGAAAGCGCAATTGTTTGTATATATTGTGTGTAAATTTTGTTATTGTTTGATTATTTTATAATTTCTTCCTTCTTAATGGGTAATATGAATGCAACTAACTCATTCTTACTTAGAAAACCTTATTATTTTGATTTTGTTGTAGTAGTTACTTCATATTTGTTCTGAAGGGTAATATCAAAATCACTAATTCATTTTTTCTTACAAAACTTCATTATTATGTTTTTGATTTAGTGTTTGTTTTATTTTCTTTCTTTTTTAATGATAATACCAATGTCACTAATTCATTCCTTCTTAGGAAAATTTCATTTTTGTGATAATTCTACTATTATATACTTATTTTGGCATATTATAAAAAGGTGCAATTTTTACATAAATTGTGTGTAAATTTCTCTTTTTTTCATTTTTGTTTTTTGTTTCAATGCATTTTTCTTTTTCTTCTTTTCTTTCCTTTATTTGGTTATTTTTTGTTTTTTGTGGGTTTCAATTACACTATGTGTAAATTATAGTAGAATGCAAAAAATGCACTATTGTATGCTTATTTTTTGCATATTTCAAAAAGTGCAATATCAGTGTAAATTGTGCACAAGTTTCGAATTTTTTTTCTTTTTTCTTTCCTTTTTTCTTTTGCTTTTGTGGGTTTTTGCCTGAGTGTAATCCTATGCATACAAATAATATATAATATGTGCCCAAATTTCATGATGATATGATTATTTTTGCATAATAAAAATTTACGATAAAGTGCAATTTGAGTGCAAACTTGTGCACATGTTTTTATTTTATTTTCTTTCTTCTTAAAGAAATAGGTTATTTCAGGTACACTTCGTCTAAATTATAGTAGAATGCGAAAAATGCACTATTTTATGCTCATTCTTTGCATACTTCAAAAAGTGCAATATCAGTGCAAATTGTGTGCGAGTTTCGATAGTTTTTTCTTTTTTCTTTCCTTTATTGGTTACTTTTTGTTTTTGTTGGGTTTTGGCTAGTGTAATTACATACATACAAATAATATATAATGTGTGCCAAGATTTCATGATTATATGATTATTTTTGCATATTAAAATAAAGTGCAATTTGAGAGCAAAGTTGTGCGCAAGTTTTTTTATTTTCTTTCTTTTTAAATAAATAGATTATTTAAGTTACACTTTGTGTGAATTATAGTAGAATGCGAAAAATGCACTATTATATGCTTATCTTCGCATATTTCAAAAAGTGCAATCTCAGTGCAAATTGTGTGCAAGTTTTTTTCTTTTTCATTTTCTTTCTTCTTAAATTGTTTTGTAATTTTCTATCAGTTTTCATTATTTTGATTTTGTTTTGTTTGTTACGAAAGGATTATACCAATGCCACGAATTCGTTCTTCTATAGAAAACTTCATTATTTTTATTTCATTTTTTCTTTTCTTTTCTTTTTTTGTATGGATAATGCCAATTTCACTAATACATTACTTTTTAGAAAACACTTTT